TTGATACATCTAAGCCAAGAATAAGGAAGCATTTCTGGAAAGTTTCTTCCTGTGTTCCTCTCCAGTCTTTCCTCCCAAATCTTTATTTCCAACAATGTGACCGTTAGTGAGTATTGGTCAGATGATTTCAAATCCATGTATGTTTGGAAACCTTGCAAATTATGGGCATATGGATGCACTAATCTATGCATGATCTTCAACATTTTGCTTCTCCCTTTTTTTTCTAATGATTCTCTAAAAAAAAAAAAAAAAAAAGGTTTACATCCAAAGGGCCAAACTATATTCTATGACTTTTGGCATTACATCTGCTTAATCACAAACAGATCATTTGTATTAGGACTGAAAATTTTGTCAAAAACGGCCTGGCGACCATAATTTCTCTGAAAAATCAAATTTTGGTCAACAAGATGATAACAAACTCCCTTACTAATCAGGACAGCTCTATTTGGATTTGCTTGTTAGTAATTGAACAAATAAAAGTGTTTAAATTATAAACAACTGTTAGTGATTAAATATTTATTATCAGCTATTTAAACAATTTATCCTGAGAGCGTAAGAGGGATTCTATTGTGTATTTTCTAGTTACCCTCAACTATCATTCCATATTCCTAGTTCAGTTTCATGCCCTTTGGCTTGGTGCGGCAATCCTGTGAACAGTAAGAATACTGGTAAAAGAAACCTCTGTTATTGACCTAGGCAAGAAGAAGATGAAAGAAACTGACTGTTGGGGTGCATTTAAAGGTGTTGTGGTGGTGACTAGAATTTGTGGATATTGTGTGTTTGAGTAGTCTCTTCCTCGGATTCCCATAGGAGGAGTGCTTCTGCATTGATCTATAAAGAGTTGAATTTCACCTCAAAACATTTTTCACTTTCACGAGCCCTATTTCACATGTTTTTCCAGCCATCCATGACCTGATTCCCGAGGCTCTTCTCACCTTTTTCCCATGCCCATCTCTCTCTCTAGGTAAATCATAACATTTCTCAGAATGGGAGCTGCCTCAGATCTCAAAATCATATCGCATGCTGAATTTAGAGTTCCCATGCTCATATATGTCATGATGGTAATGCCATGTTTTATGCACGTCATAAATTTACCCGCTCCCCAGGTGATACGATTCGAGCACTTGTATAAATGAACATTTGATGTCTGTAAACTTAAGAAAGTAACAATAATTGCAAGATCTGAGATCAATCCCATTTCCATGGTTCAATTTTGGCTTTTCTTTTTATTATGTTGGTAATATTTGATCAACCATCAAGTCAGCATATAAACAAAGAATATGATTTGTACACAATGTTTACTTATCATAAAATCTTACAATTTTATGTGATAGTAATTAGAATTGACTCTCGTTTTACTCAATGAAAAGAGACGTGCGGGAATACAGAATGGCATGTGTTTATTGTAAGAAAACATTGTGTGCCAATAACTCTATAATCCGTTTACACGAGAAACCAGTGACCAAAAACTGAAAGCATAACCGGAAATGAGTTCTTTAATGAACAGAGAAAGCTCATGTCTGATTATATATTTTTTTGACTGAAGATTGCTGATTATATTTACAATTTTTTTGTTTTATTATATCAAAAACGTTGGCTTTCACCTGTGTTACCAAAAAAAAAAAAAAGCCTCTATTTCCTGCCTAGGATGAGATTTGATTCCTGGTACTTTAATGCAATCATCAAAAGGACTTTACCAACTCAACTAATTGACATCTTCAACCTCCCAGCTGTTTGGACAATGCCCCCACCCGCAAAATATACCACCTCTCCCCTCCGAAAATGAGCTTCTAGAGGCAGACCAAAACAAGAAAATGGAACTGGATCAGCAAACTAACCAGTATGAGAACATTTCATTTGCGCTTCGGGCTTCCCTTACACATGTTTCTCCATTTATTCTTCAAGTCCACTGAAGTTCGGCAGTTAAGAGACACTGAAGAACCAAGGTCCAGAATTTCCTTCCATGGAATGCTACCACCAGCTGTACTTGAGAACTTGCTTACTCCCTCCTGCAACAGTAATAACAACTATTTATTTCCAGAAGGATTTTGAGAAAAATGGAAATTACTAAAAGAAGGAAACAAGCTTAAGTTATATGCAAAATCATGGGTCCAATTTTTTTTCCATTTTTGGCCCTTTTGGTCTAAAACCACAAATGGGAAAAATCTAAATGTCCAATCTGGAAGCAGCTGGAATCTTAAATTTTCATTTATTTCTCAAGACACAAAGAAAAGAGAAAACACTCTGAAACCAATCTTCTGAAAAAAAAAAAAGCACAATTAAATTGCAACAGTTCAATGTTTGATTTCTAGGACTACAAGCTAGGAATAAATTTATGCAAGAAAGAAAATACCCTAAGCATCTGTTCTTCCTCAATTGTCCACGGAACCTTCTTTCTCCCCAACTGTGGAACTGCTAGGTATGTGCTGCAGAAAAAGAACAATTTAACACTTAAGATTTCATTTCAAATTAAATCAACTGGATAAATATTTT